AATTTGGGTATACTTTGTCGTCTGATGAGGAAACCCAAACGGTATAAAACGTCATCTGCCGATAGCAGCACGGGAAAAACATCCTTTAACTGTTGTCAGGCGCCTGCTTTTTCCCGGTCTTAAGGTGGGGTAAAGGATGGTCCTCACCCCAAACTTGGGTGCGCCCTTACAGTCAACCTAGAAACTCAGGTTGCGGAATTGGTGTAGCCGGTAGGACCAACCTGTGGGCCATACCTATACAAAACATGTCTTGTGTGCTTAAAATACCAAACAGATCACCCATTGTAGCCATGCCTCATACTGCTCATACCCCTCTTCTGCAGCCCTGTTACGGCCCGTCTACACAACAGGCATCGAAAAATGCTTTCAACGCTTCGCCCATTCACTTGAATGGGGTGACGTAGAAGATTTTTAATCTTCGCCGAACTGCATTGTGGGGAGCATGGCTTTGCGAGCATCGTGAGCATCAAAAGTTGAGCAATGTTCAACTTTTGATGCTCCCGATGCTTTCGAAGCTGGCATCAGCCAATCAAATCCCGTTTATGCGAAATCCTCTGTACAAGCGCTAGCCAATCAAACCGCGTGCAAGCTGGGAGAGCCAGACCGTAGTTCATTTCCTCATATTCCAAACGAGAAATTAAGGTAACAAATCACCCGGTTCTTTACGACCAGAACTATTTACCGGGATACAAACCGGAGGAACCAGGCATGGAGGGAGGTGGCACTGGGTGAAACTGGTAAGTTTTCACCTGTTTGGAGAGTTTATATCCAGTTTACTTCGTTTTAACATTGCTATTGCTTTGTATGTCGGGGGCGGGAGATTCATGTGATTGGTTGTTGGTCGCGTTGCTCGCGAAAAATCGCCAAGCTTCAGACACGCCCAGCTTCAAGATTTTTCAAGATTTGTTTCATGCCTGTGTGGACGGGCCATAAGTGCTAACAGGCATGCTAAAACATTTATACATTCATTCAGACTTTTATTTGGCCTGACCCTTGACTGCTTTTCGGCTCACTTGATTCCCGACTGCTTCACAGCATCAGAAATGCTACTGCAGGTTGACTTAAACTAAGGCAGCACAAAACAATGAATTCAACAGTTATGCTATTTCACAACCACACTGATACAAACTCTATGTTGGACCTTCAGGATTGACATATCATTAAAATACTGAATTATTGTTGGTAAATGCCTTTCTAATTGATCAATCAGCAGTTGATACATTTTCTCAAACAGCACACAAGGTGGGCTTCCCTCGGTTGGGCTGAACTACAGTTGGCGGAGGGCTGACCCTTGAACTGCTGAGCTGAGAATTTGTAGGCTATCGGGGTAATTTTGCTCCTCCACTGCAGTAGGTAATTTACAGCCCTGTCTGCCGTAGAGCGCCTAGGGCCAGACCCGGGATTAGACTGTGAGCAGCAACAGAGCCCGTGGATCACCATCAATCTCCACTGATTGAATGCAAATTGGAAAAGTACACTATGCATGTCAGTATACATCATGAGAAGAAAGCTTGCACAACAAACACACAAACAGCAAGCACATGCCCATTCTCTAAATATGCAAGCCTTATTTTATGTGCATGTGTTTGTATGTGTGCATGCAAGTGTTTATGTGGTGAGCAGACAAGCAGCAGAAATTTATGGGCTAACATAGTGGCTAACACATTTGCATTATAAATCTCAATTACATAGCATTATTTGTTTACCAGCCTGCTCAGATGGAATTCTCATAAGGTGCCCTGCAGAGGAGGGTCATAAATTCTTAATAAACTGCAGTGCAGACCTTTGAACGGCACTGACCTAAATCCTGCAGCTCATCTCTGCACTACACTCATTTCTTTAAACTTTAATAAGGCTCTATTACACATATTTAACTGTTTTTCAGAAACCCCAAACCAGACCCTGTCCACCTAAACATCCCAGTTGAACACAATCTGCCTGTAAGAAAACACGTCATGACACGGTCTTGTGCAGGCAAATGTGTGTTGAGATGCTGTGCTATCAGTCTGGGACCATCTGCCGATGTGTTTTATATGAGGACTAAACCCTCATAGGCCCTCCAGACAGAGGCACAGAGCACAAGCGATTAATATGCCTAGGTTAATGAGCAGACCCAGCATTGTCTTTGCTGCTCTGACTGTCAGTGTGTGTGGAGCTTGGTGCTGATTCCCTTAACTACTGCTGCTGCTGGAGTAGACCATTCCAACATGCAATGCCTTTGCTGTAAGAGGGCTTGTGGCATATCCTGCTTTGTTAGAGACATAGCCCTTAATATAAACTGCCTGGGTAAATAAATAAAACAATTTTTTGCCACCTGGCAATTAAACTGCTAATTAAAAGGCGAAGCACTCTTAATGGATGCATTTCTCAGGAGGGATGTTCTGTTCTCAAAACAAACACACTTCCCCTTTCTTTCTACCTCTCCTATCTCTCCATCATCCTTCTCCCCGCTCAATGTCCATCCCTGGGAGCCGTGGCTGATGTGTTCCAGGTGAGTGTCGCCTGCTCTGCTAGTGGCTCTGCTGAGAGCGAAGGCTAAGAGGGACAGCTGGATGGGTTCAGAGGCTGGAGGGGTCCTCTCTCCTGGCAAAGACTTCTGTTCCAACAGCCAAAGCTCTTTATGTATTCATATTTTGAGTGCTTCAAAAAACCCAAATAGTGTACACAAAAAAACAAACACACAGAGGACAAGATAGTGTACAAATTGTTTAGAGGATCGACGAATAAAAAATTGTCACACAAATCCTACATGCACAAATCCAAGTATTGTATGCTTGCTTCTGCAATAAATATGTAATCGGTATTACAAGTTTTCACACACACACACACACACACACACACACACACACACACACACACACACACACACACACACACACACACACCTGCCCATCTGTTTTCTTTAGGGGATAACACTGTTTTCATTAAAGTGAATAAGCATCTTGAAAAGCAGCAGTGAGGCATACAAAAAAGTCACTTTCCAGAACGGCTTATTCCCTGTTCAGATTATTCGGATGCAATTAGGTCACAACAGATAAGAGTTTTACTTTGTGATCGACGTACTCCTGCAATATTAAAGATCCGAGGTCACCATAAATAAAAGGTCAAACGTGCAGGCAGGTGAGACTATGAGAGCGAGAGATATAAATGCAGATCTTTCCATGACGTGTTGGCATAATTGAATTCCCTTGTCCTGTATCAAAAAGACAAAGGTTTTTGATACATCTCAAACGTTTGTTTTAATGTGATAAGTTATGGAATAAATGTTTTATAACCATGGAATGTTTTTTTTTAGTTGCAAATGTCAGAATTTATTTCACAAGTGCCGCAGCAGCCTCCACACACCTCTGCTCATCACACAAACAGCCGGTGGGGGAAAAAAAGCTATGATGTAAAACTACATCATCTACAAATGGACTGTTTGGAGACACATTTAATCACGCTGCTAAATAAGTTCAAACAGATTGGCTAATGACCCAAGCATATCATTAAAAATCCATGTGTTGTAGTCAGCCCTGAAACACTAGACTTGCTCCGACTTGACAAAGACTTTTCATGCTGTTTCAACGTTTTGCCAACATATCAGTGGATATGTCAACACAACCAGAGCAAAAGAGTGCGACAAGGTTATCAAAACTGGAATCCTACAGCAAACATCTAAAGCCAGTGTGTGCTTTTCTGAGCAACTGTGTGTTCTCGGATAAAAATGGAAAAAACCCACAGCTGCTACATCTAAACCACAGAAGAAACCAATGTCTTTACGAGAGAAGACCTCAACCTGACAACCATGTCTTGTTGCAAACATCACAACTTAACTCTTCCATGATTTAACACTAAACTGTATACATATTGCAGACACGGAGGCCATCATTCTCTGCCTAAGAGATGGCAAATGAATAAGTTGGGGGGATAAATCATGTACAGTGACTCCCTGAGGAGAGGTACAGTGCAAGTATTTAGGTGAAATATGAGGCCATGGATAATTGAATGTGTGTTTCCCAATGTCAAGGACCCTAGGAAGGTCACTAGGGTAAGGGATAGATGTGGAGAGATGATGGAATCGGGAATTGGGGAGTGGGAGATGGTAGAATTAGAGAGAGAGAGAGAGAGAGAGGGGGAGGGGGGGGGGAATTTGCTCCTAAACGAGCAAATGAGAAAAAATTTGATATAAGGCATATGGGCAAAACTGAACTTTGAGCACTGAGGGTGTTTTTTATATGTTTGTATACAACTCTTTAAGTAATGAGCACAGGACAAACGTTTCCTCCTACTCTGAGTTTTTAAATGTGACTTACACGCAGCGCTGTTAAGGACAACATTTAAAAACCACAAGGAAGCCGTGTCAAGATGCAATCAGTCTGAAAGCTTTGCTTTTTTAAACCCTGCGCGAGCACAACAGCACGCAACAATGTCAGTTCCTTCAGCAACACGGGAGCGGAGAACGAGTTGTGCATTTGTGTAATGGAAAACTTTACTCAACTCCACACATGCTGTCAACTTGCGTACAGCAGTCGGAACATGTATGACTTCGTAGATAATGAATGGAACTTTGGGGTTAATTAGTGACTATCAGAATGATGAAACGCAGTTGTAATTTGTGCTAAAAGGAGGAGGGTTAGGGAAATATAAAGAATGTATCGTCCAAAACATCAATTACACATCTGTCTGATTCTTTGAGCACATTCATGGCCTCATACCAGTGAAATATATTTAATATGATGCTGAGAAATATTTCAAGAAGAAAATCACTTAATTTGTAGCTCCAAATTTAACATCTTTCATGCCTTTTTAATTTTGCAATGGCCATGCCATTAGCGTTATGTCATCCACAAAAATGAGTACTTTTCTTTCATTTGTGCCATGTGTTGCCGCACTTGTTGCTAATTTATCGTGGCCCGGCAGTGTCGACGTAGCACAATTCCAATTATATATTGGAGTCCCTAGCACAAAGGTGTAGTGTGCATGAAATCCTTTGAGACGGAGGTTCATTAGCGACTTACATTGTCAGCGATGGTGCGGCCCAGCTTGTCCATTCGTGATCCTGCCTCGGCAATTTTCTTGGCAGCACTGATGACATCAGACGTATTCTTCAGTGGACCTTTCCCCCTGGGGAGAAACAAGTGGAAAGATCAGTCAATGTTTCTGATCTCATCCAATATGCAGGAGCACCATCTCAGTTATGAAGCGGCTGTTTGTTTTGGAAGGATTTTATTCCATTTTATTTTTTCAGTCAGAGGCAAGGATGGATAGAGAAGTGTGATTTATGGGAATAGTTCAGGGAATCAAAACACACACACACACACACACACACACACACACACACACACACACACACACACACACACACACACACACACACACACACACACACACACACACTTAGAGGGGCAGCCTTCACTCTCAGGGCCGTCCTTAAAGACTGGGCCCATGGTGCTGTACGACACTCTTTTGTAGTACAATAACCCCGCGATCAAAATCAGGTGTTATACACATTTTATCCCACATGTTTTCAGCATACGATTGATATAATACATTGGTGAAATGTCTTTAAGAAACATGCAGCATATTTTTTTCTATTCATATTTTCATAATTTGTGAAGAAACCCTGTAAGCACTACAACAAGATGGCCTCGTAGGCAATCATGTTGTAGTGCTTACCAGTGCCATATGTTTTCTATCACAGTGGAAGTGAGCAGTTCAATCTACCCAGAACCTTCTATTAAAGCAGTTTCAAGAGGTTTAATTAAAGGATAAGACGTAAACCCGACTGGTTTCAGTGCGTTCTGTCATGATGTCCACCAGGAGAACAGTTGGTTGCCCTTTAAACCGTTACACACAGCAGCTCATCATTGGTATGGTTATTTTCGTCCAAGAACTGACAAAACACAGAGAGCCAAAGAATAAAAGGAGATAATTGAAAGTAGACGGATGAGATTACAATTCCATTTAAAGGCTGGTCATTGTGGTAATGTTAAACATCCATCGCTGACCATTTGGGAGCCAAGCTAAGCCCGTCCCAACACAGGTCAGTCTGGCCCTGACCTGACCCACTGTTAAGCTTGTCAGCCATTTGCGAGGGTTTTTCTCTCCCCACAAGGGACTCTGGGACACAGTTGGCGAGAGGTACAAATTGGATTCAAAGCTGCTCTCTCCAGGCTAAAAAATGAGCAATCCAACCCAGAACAGATGGAATTTTGTGTACTGTTCTCTCCCTTTCTCCATCTCCCCTCTCTTGCACTGCCTCTGCTGCTCTGCTGTAAAGCTAGTCAGGGTCCAAGTGGAAGAGGCCACGCTTCAGAGCACAGGCTGGAAGCTCTCCGGGGACCAGTCAACCCCTGGAGACAGAGCTAGAGGCATTGTGATGCGTTTCTGGGAAAAAGACTCAGCATGAGTATGTTTAATAGAGTGTTGCTAGTATAGTGTTTACACACGGCATCTATTGCACGTCTGTCCGTACTGGGAGAGGGATCCCTCCTCTCTTGCTCTCCCTGAGGTTTCTCCCATGTTCCCCTTTAAACTGTGGGGTTTTTCTCTGGGAGTGTTTCCTTGTACGATGTGAGGATTTAAGGATAGAGGGTATTGTCATACTGATATTCTGTACAAACTGTGAAGTCCACTTGGACAAATGTAACATTTGTGATATTGGGCTATATAGATAAACATTGATTGATTGATTGATTGATTGATTGATTGATTGATTGATTGTGTTGTAGTTTGACACGATATAAACACTTCACATTACAAAAACCCAGCAACCACTGATTTCTCCCTAACCACTTGTTCCCTTCCTAAAAATATCATTTGCTTTAGCCCAGAGATATTAAGTGCCAGCTGCTCATTTTCTTCACCTTCTCCAGCTGTGTAGGTCGCCATGTAACGATAGGGAAAAGCTCAAAGAGTCGACAGATAAAGACAAAAAGAGTCCTGACAGGAAGAAATACTTGAGGCATTTTTGTAGTGGATTTGCACACTTAGTAGAAACCGGGGGGACTTCGGGTCTGGTGACAGCTGCAGGCCTCCAAATGGGTGTAAGCCACATAGGGACGAGCACTTTGCAGCACAGAATGCTCGAAGACAGGTGGCTACCAAATATCTTGCATGTTTCCAAGCCACACATGCCTTATTCATGAGTGCCACCACACAGCCATAAGCGATGCAGGAGTCGACGAGAATATCTCTCACTCTGGGCAGATTTGTCAGGAGAGAGGTCCAGAACAATTACCGCACACAGCATTAACCTTGGCAGGGCTTTGTGCCAGCTCAAGGTAAGGGAGCAATCATTTTTGGGCAGTGGCTGAATTAGCCAGTGACTGACCTTCTATGTGCTAGAGAGTCAAGGCATATTGTGAAGATGTATATCCATCCTGACACATATTTGTGCGTGTTCCGTCAGACAATAAAACTATATACAGACTTAAATCCAAAGGCTCAGGGCAGCAAATAAGTCACAATACTAAATTGAGGTATTATCCCATGAATAACAAAACTGAGCACTATTAACAACAAAGGAACACAAGCCATTCCCATTGCTTTGTTTTAAAAGCTCTATTTCTAATGGCCAAACGCTGACCATATATTATGTAAAGTACTTATTACACTGATCGCTAAGGTCATAGACATTAAAGCTTGACCCAAAATACTCCCTAAATACAGAACTTGGCAACCCCAGATAACATTAATAATTTAAAGAACAAATAAAGTAACTTATGAATAGCCAACGTGGAAAGGTTTTATTATAATGCAAATCCAGATGCTAAACTGGATTTGATGTGAACATCAAATCAGGAGAATCACTCCAAGGCTCCTAAGCTCCAGTTGGGACATCACATTGTTGCTGCTGCTGCTGCTGCTGCTGCTGCTGCTAGGTGACAGTTGCAAAGGTTAGCCATGGTGGATTTCTAAAATGTACATTTAATTTGGATTTTATTTTCCTGCTGAAGATATTCGACTTTGGGATGGCATTCCAAATTAAAACACATCTGTTCTTTCAAGCAGATTTAGAGTGGAGGTTTGATTGATCTAAATCCTAGATGAAATGTGTAGGAGATAAGAGGCTTGGCTTTTTTAGAGTTTAAAATCCAGTCAGTGTGAAAAGAAATGCCTCGTCAGCAGAACAACATGAAGCAGTACTTCTCTTCTTGAATCGTTTCATGTACTGTTAAGTAGTACTCAACTAACAATTGAGAAACGCAACCACAATTTAGCAAAAGGACACTCGATTAGCACCAACATATTTGATATGTATATGCAGCCAGAATCTGACCAAGATGTGTTGAGATACTTTGTTGGATTCTAAAAAATGATTTATAATTGTTTGTGTTTTACCAGCGTAGCTTTGTTGTTTCGGAAATGTCCTACAGACCTGATTTTGAACTACATTTGGATTTATGCAACATTGTATGCAGATACTAAGCCATAAGGCTTGGAATGGTGCACATGTAGAAAATGTGTTCCAGTAAGAGCAGTATAAAGAAAGCATCAATAGGCTTTATCCTAATTGAGGATCTTTTTCATTTGAATGCCTTTGGTCTGCCTTATACTCTAAAACAGAGGGAGAAGCAGCCTTTATGTTGATATAAAGGTGTCACCTCAATCAATAACCTTTTAAAATATATACACACAGCTGACGCCATCTAATAAAGAGACATGGCTGGCACTCTGGAATCAGCATGATTTGCATTCCGTTGACATGTGTGTCTTCAGTGGCAGCATTTACTTGTCTTGGTCCTTTGGATGAATAGGCAGCAAATGAAAAATGGCAGGGTTCTGTGTGACCTCAGTCGGATCCCTTGCTGTGCTACTATTTGAAACTCTGCTTCAGTTTCCCAGTATTCTATGTCTTTGGCCGAGGGATCTTTGAGCCATTCAAAGGATGAAGATTGAGAGGCAGCATTTCCCCGTCATTACGGATGTGACTCAGAGTTAGGCACAAAATGTACTCATGAGTAATTCACTGGAATTTAAAAAAGGCACAGTCATACAAATACAGTCAGGGGCAAATACAGTCAAAATGTTTCCTCACATCCTCCACACAAACTCACGCACACTGTGTGAGCTAGGGGTTTTTAATGATATCAGTTCTTCTTTCTTGTTGTGATTTTGCTGCAGGATTCTTGAAGAAAACATTTAGCAAGATGAGAAGAAATTACATAAATGTTGTCTGAGCGAGAGTATTGATTCATTTTGGAGTTAAACATTGCTTCTAATATTCTGTTTTTATTTCGGTGGTGGCTCCGTGCTTTCATTTTTATTTGGATCCTTGATGTTGTAAAGCCAATGTGATGTTGATTAAGAAATACATTTTTCATCTCTCTCAAGTAGTTGGTTAAACTAGCAAGAGTTGCCAAACAAACTGCATTTCTGCTAAATCAATACTTCTGAAATCCGAAACGTTTGAAAGTTGCTTGTAACCACAGATTCAAACACTGTTACACTTTTGTTAAGTAGAAGCTGAGAAAATGTAATAACTGCAAAATGTAATTTAGCAATCTGGCAAATCCTGATTTCTAAGATGTTTTTGTTTTTACTCATTTCTCTACTATGTTCATTGTCCCAACAAACCGTTGAAGGGGGGAATATGGCTACCCTATAGCAGCTCTGCAGAGAGAGATTTACAGTGCACACCGGATTTATTCGTGTACCAGAGAGGGAGAGATTTGATGCACTGCTTATGGTTGTGCATATTAAGATTAGGGGAGGAAGGGAAAATAATCAAGAAAAGAAAATTCTACCTACAGAGCTGCTTAGGGAAAATGAAGAGCGTTGATGCATGAACAGTAGTGTTAAAGTGGGTGCATTAATATTGAGATACGGGCGAATGTTGAGGAAAAAAATGTAGGCTTACAGGGTGATTGTATTTGGCTTAAGTTAAACATGCATTTTGTCCTGGAGGCATTCTGCTTGAATTGCACTACTATTGGAATATTAATGGGAGGACTGTGGGATGACATATGTAAACAAATGTGCAGCCATAACACAAACCACTCATTCGGATGTCTGCTGAGGCCAGGACAAATATCTACAATTAAAAAATGGGCCATCAGCCGCTAGGAAAAAGAAAAAGGCCCTGGGTGTGAGCCAAGCTTGTTTGTCCGCACTCACCTGGTGAAGTCTGTCATCTCCATCATGACCATGCACATCTGCTTAGCCAACACAATGATGTCGTTTCCGTTGTCATCCCACTTGGACACCTCGGCGTCCAGCTTGCTCTTCTCTTCCTGGAAGCTAGCCACCTGTTCAGCAATCTGCGCCCGCTGCTCCTGGGGCAACTGGGCCATGACAGCCTGGAGGAGGAATTATGGGAAGCGGAGAGGGTTAGCATACTGTTAGGGAGGCCATTGCTGTCTCCGGGGCATTTTGTTCTACATCATCTCCTATGGTTTCCATGGATGCACACATGTTTTTTTGCCAGGGAAGAGCATGGTGCTGTGACACTATGGTGCACTACACTACTATTCTTACATTTCTACACTTGCTTAAATCAGGCAATTCAATGATTTGTGCAGTTGCCCAAGAACAAGTGAAGAGTAAAGAGTTATTTATCTATTTTGCATTGAGTATAGCCGGCATACTGTTCCCATATAACTTAGTAGATCAACAGTTTGGTGAAATTGTGATAATACTTCATTGTATTTGTAAATGCAGAATTAATAGCTCAGCTGTTGAATTGGGCTGCATTCAACTTAATTGGTGCACATGAAAAAGGTGTAGCGTATGTCTCTTGTTTTTGGCATGTTTGCATCTTAAGACAAAAAAAATGACCTCATAAATTGCTCTCTTTTCTGTAAATAAATGTCATCACCAATGCTCTCAAGTAGACATTTCCCTGATTGGCCCAGGTTAAGTGGGGATTTGTTCTGGGTTCAAAAGGAGGTTCATAGCCACTAAGTAATATTACGTGACAGCTTCTGGAAAAATATACATCTATTGAACTCCTTGCCCTGCTGGCCAGAGAAGGAGATCAATATAAGGGCATTTGTTTAGCGGTACTTAATATCATGTGCAAATGTGTTTAGCGCCATTTCTATCAATCCTCTTGGGCTTGACGGTTAAAGGGCAGTTTCAAAACAGGCAATCAGACATTCAATGAATGAGCTTGTGAGGCCGAAGTGGGCAGACACTAAAGAGCAGGAAATCGAATATCATGGCGTGAGTGTTCATTCCATTACTGGTAAATGGGAGTCTCTCTCTAGAGTCACCTAAGCTTATACAAAGCTGTTCAGGGCAGAGCAAATATGAAAAGCCCACACCTAAAAAACATCCGGATAAGCTTTGGAGAACAAAACAAACAGAATGGAAATGTACTGAGGGATCGCTCCACCATTAGGGAATTTTGAGATTAATTCATTACTCTTTATTTTGTAAACACTTTATTTCCCCAGCTTTTATAAAGAGGGCAAACAACAACAGAATTCATTTGTATTGTTATAAGGTAGGCTGCGGGAAAATGTAACCTCAACATTCAACCAGCAACAGAAATTGACTGGTTCCAACAACAACCAGATTGGAGTTGGATCTTTTGAAGTCTTGATTTTTCTTCACTGAGTTGTGGGTAGCAACTGTTTTCCACACAACGGAGGTGGTGGTAAACAAGCGCTGTATGAGGGAAAACTTTAGTTATGGTGGCATTAAGTCAACTCTGCGTAATTAACAGCAAGTATGAGGGTGGTGTGTTTTAGAGAACAACAGCGCCTCTGAAAGCGCTCACATGACCGTACAATCACAAACGACCCTCAATAAACAGTGTGACTAATTTTCTAAATGCGTACAATTATTTTCTAAAACTACAGCCTGGTGATAAATTGTTCCTGTGATTATAGTATTCTGAACTATATTTGTATGTACCAAGCGAGTCATTACATATTTCCTCTAATCTAAACAAGCTATATTAATTTACTATTACAAGAACATTGCAAGAGAGAGAGTACATCTATGGTCCATTAGTAAATTCAAATCAAATGTATGGGTGTTTTTTTTTCTTCACATATGTAGTTACTTTCTAATCAGGTATTATTGATGCTATTTGAAAGTGTACGATTTTAGAGGCAGGAGATAAGAGCAATAAATGTCTGTTAATACCACACGAAGTGATGGACATCTTACCCGTGCACTCTGGCCGGCAATAAGCTGGTCATCCTCCGTCTGCACGCTGGTCCTGCTGCGAGCATCAAAGTCTTCAGTCTCAAAGTCAGAGTCGTCCAGCTCCTCTGGAGTCTGTAATGGATCAACAGAGAGAGGAGAGGGGGGGGGGGGAGGAGAAGAGCAGTAACAAGAGGGAAAGGTCAGTAAAGCAGATCGTTTTTAGGGGAGAACATAAAAAAATATTGGCACACTACAGCCTTTTGAGCACTATCAAATAACCAACCTGATTACCATCTAAGAGAAAAGCCTTGACGCTGCAGCAAGGGCAGCATCAAATAAATGTGTTCTTCCCCATAGCTCGTCACAAGAAACCATAAACTCTAAATGCATTTGTAAATCAAGTGTGACGTGCAGCATATGCATTTGGAGAGAGAAAATGAAGGTACAAGCTGGTATGAAACATATTGTGGGGCAAAATACTCCTGAGTCCCATCTGTCGCTGCTCTCTGTGGAAAGGCGTGTGAGGCATGAGCCGTTCTTTAAGAGTGTTGCTACTTCATCTCTGATCCTTCACCTCTGCCCCAGCTTTGAAAGCAAAACAGGCTACCATCAAGATTTCCCCCCATAACAATTAATATTCACAAGGATTTCTATCTCGACAGGTCATGCTCGAGGCAAAATACAATGCTGATTGACAGGGAAATGTATTTGGTGGTGATACGGGCCCAGGGAAGATGATGTGGACAGATAAAGTTGCATTATCACGCCTGTGCCGCTACTTGTGCTTATCCAGCTGTCTCAATACCTCCCTTCTGTAATGGATTTGGAGCCCCCACGTCTAAAAATAGCTAAAGGTCTCTGAACAACCTTACACTGCTTTATGAAATGTAGAGATGCTGTTGTTCTCAGGGGAATGGGGGTATGGGTTTCGGATACAAAGCTATAACTGTGACTCATAGGCATCTCTTTCAACCCAGACAATGCTGCTCAGTGGGGCACAGATATCACCTGCTGTGGCCTGTGCAACAGATAACCTGTGAATGTGGGATGCTCAGAAACGATAGCTCATAGTGAGCACCCGATGGGACAATACTGGAGAGATTTGAAAACAACAGGCTACCGTTTTAATTAAAAGGGGTTATGAAAAGGTAGCACTGCTGCTGAAGCAAATTATACAATATTTCATGTTGTGGCTAAACACTAATCAATATTTAATTTTGGAATGTTCAGACCCTCCACTGTCTGCCTGCAAGCTGAAATATTCATTTCCACCTGTTTCTGAAGTGTAATAGAGAAGAAGAGAAATGTTCTGTAATAACAGCATTGCGACAGCCCTTGAAAGAAGGCTCTAGTATTTCCTATCATATCTGCTTGCTGATGTGAACGGGACACTTCAACAGTCAAAATGTCTTTTACAATTCTTTATGTGACATTCTTCTGGTAGCCTCTGCGATAGGAGCAGGTTTCATTTTAAGGACTGAGCCAGAAAATTCACCTTGGGCTGTGATGCACAGCACAAATCATAAGGTAGCGACAGCTGCCCCCCCGCATCTCGCTGTCAGCGGCTCAATGACTTTGAGACAGTTTGATGTCTGGGAGGCATATTCTCTGATGTCGCTGTAGGTGGGGAGAGGGCTCTGCCCGCCTGTCACATATCCAGGGGACGGCCAACATGAACCGCCTGGGCGCCACTTACAGAGGTTAAAGACTTGTCCATCTTAAGCAGCCCCAACCACACAACTGTCTGCTCTGATTTAAGAGTGGGCCACTGTGCCGCGCGTGCATGTGAGCTTTATAGTGAGATGGCTAGAGAGTGAATGTGCAATTGTGTGTGTGGACATGCCCTCTACAGAAGTTGCCTTGTAGTGCTAAAGCTGATTTGTGATATTTCATATAAAGATATATCATATTTAAGAGTGAAACATGCCGAGTTTCATCTATAAACTGTGCCACTGAAGGGTAGTTCAGCCGGGAAAAGGTTCTTCTCGAGAGGAATCATGGTTTTTGCTACACTTGCTCAACTTCATTACAAACAACAGCAGGTAGGAGAGCGTAAGTGGACTTCTGTGCAGATTCTGCAGCAAAGTTCACAACTATCCAGCTGATCATCTGAGGCCCTTCCTTCGGAATAAACACCACAATCTGGGATAATTACCTCACACACCTGATCAAAAACCTTGGCAAACCCATGGGGAACTGCATTGTTTTTTCTTTTAAGATAGTGGCTTAAGTTTGAGTTGAGTCTCATCACTATCTCTTGCTCAGCAAACAATGTCAGAATGTATCTCACGGATGAATTCTAAGTAGGGTTGCAAAATTCAGGGAATTTTCGAAGATGGACATTTTCCATGGGAATATAAGGGAATAAACTGGGAATTTTCTAAATTGCAGGTTGGCTCTTCATAGGGAACTTAAATATAGTCGGGGAAAGCATACTTTAGCATAATCTTGACTAAAACAAACAGATGCCATTAAAGTACACTTGAATATCCATGCCATTCCTCACATGCACATAGAACACTGCTTACTGCATGGCTATTGAGACCACATCCCCTACAGGATGGGGGGTGCATTTTTGAACAAATGATTGTTTAATAAAATAATTAAAACGTGTTCTGTTCTACTTACAAATAAATCTGTTGAAATGTCATGTTTTTTTAAATTGTATCATTTTGCATGGATGTTTTCTTATGACAAAACAAAATGTTTATATTTATGCTTGGATACGATACAATTCGATTACATTACCCTCAATTCCCAGTTAGTTCCCATTAATTCCCATGGAAAGTTTCCAATATGGAATATTTCCCAAATTCCCCAGCTTCATTTCCCATGGAAATGTACCGGAAATGTTCCGCCCCTTTGCAACCCTAATTCTAAGTAAGCAAGATCTTTGGGAAATCCTCTGAGATTTTTAACACACATGCACGCCTGCACTCACACACATACACACTCCTACCCACCAGGTTGAGCTCAGCCCGCCCCACAGGCCCAATGTTAACAGCTTAATCAATCTGGATAACAAGAGAGGAGCCGGGGCAGAGGGAAAGTGAATGTAGTTCTCTGCCTTGCAGTCCAACTCAAGAATGCTAATTAAAACCTCCATCTTAAATCAATTGCTTATTATAATGCAAATACAGCATAATGGTCCCCCTCTCCTTTGGTTTTATCTGTCTGAGCAGCATTACTCATGGGTGCTCGGGCACCGTTTTGAGCACCATTGTCAACAGAAAATGTGCTGTCAAGACTAATGATTCCAATTCAAAAGATTAAAGTGTTGAAAATAATGGAAGATGGCATAATACAACCAAGCAGCACATTATATTTCACCCAAGTAAATACCTAATTAGGTGCTGGATACATTAGATGCAGTTAAAACAAATCCACTTACTCTTCAACATATACCGGATCTAATTCTATTGAGTAGTCAAACTAGTTATACTATAAAGCTTTAAGAACTATCCATTTCTTTTTATAACTGGAGTGGGTTTTGTTGTTAGCTCATTGTCAGTCAATTAGGTACCCAACTACCATCTGTCTCAGTTATAGTTCCCCTCAAGCAAAGGCCATTAACCCGCAGACAACTAAGGCTGTCGTTGCACTAGATTGCAAGACTGGTCAATTAGGTATGCTCTTGCATGAGACAAGTTAATCATTGGCTCCTGCACGCACATACAGTTTCTCTCATACCATTAAAAAGAGCATCTGGTCCACAGAACTATGTGTAAGTATTTATATCTATGTGTAACATTCATTTCTATTTTAGTTTGTTCAGTCCAATATTTATATTTAATGTTTGTACATGCATTTGTGTTTATTTGGAATAGTATTTATCATTCTTTTTAATGTAATTCATTATATGATATATTAACTATAGAGCTCATTCATTTCTAATCGAGTTCTTTCTATCCAATATTTATATTTAATGATGTCTGTACATCCTTTCGTGTGTATTTGGAATAATATTTATCATTCTTTTTAATGCAGCTTATTTTATTATATATTAATGTTTCTTAATGTTTGCTTTCTTTTATTTTAATTACATTTTCTCTTACTATGTTTATGTTATTATCTACAAAATCCTGAAAAGATTGAAATCATTAAATGAGTGCCGTTGATTGAACCGTTAAACAGGTTTTCAGGAGTTACAGCTTCTTAATGTGTCCAAAGGCAGATTGCTCTATACATGCTATAAGGTGGAAGAGTATTTATTTACTTCTGACAGTTTCAACTCTGTCCATCGTCTAGTGAAGAAAAGGTCAAAGATGCCTCTTGCTATATCCAGATGTTATACACAACAGGGGGAAGATAATACAAATCAATCTTAAAAACCAACGGAAAACAATCAGTGCAACTTACTCTGATCATGAGCACAGCCTTGCGAATGTCGCGGATTCCATCATAAACCAGACGGGACGCGTCGATGAACTCGTTCTCATCCACAGGTAGAGTGGGGTTTGCACTCAAGGCCTCCACCGCAGACTCCACTTGCTCTGTGAACCGCGGCATTACTGCCGAAGGTGACACGAAGGTCGGGAGGAAGAAGGGAAAGAAAACAATATTGATGAAGATTCGCTTCAAAAAACACTAAGAGAAAGAAGGTTTATAACCAAAGAAAGCACAGCCTAAAATAACAGAATAAACAGACACCTTGGGAGGGAGGGCAAGTGTTTAACCACAAGAATATAAAAAGTAAAAAACAAACAAAAACAGAGCTAAGTATGGTCAAAACCAACTGTCCAGCCACCCCCTCCAAAACAAGCCAATGTGAAAGCGTTAGCACTGAGGTGAGAATTGTTTTAAGCAGCGTGCCTCTGCTCAGCTTCCTCACTATCCATACTTAACACAATCCTCCTGAGAAAGCAGGTTATCAAAAGCTACCCGACATAAACAATTAACAACATCAGTCTAGTGAGGAAATAATATTTGATATCATATATGATCGTTTTAAAAGAAAACCAAAGCAAGTGTGCCAGCGAAGATAGTGGCCTTTTAATGATGAATTCAAAAGGGTGTATTTTGTTGGGTGACTTACTTACTGCCTTCGTGCTTTGTATGGGAACAAAAGGCTCAGGGGAATAGATTTACAATTTGCATAACAGAGTTTTAAAGAAAATAATTCAGATCGCTCTCCCAGTAGGCTTGTACTTTGCCCCATTCACGAGATAAGAGCTCCAAAGGGCTCCCTAGAACATATGCGTTCATAGCATTTCAAAAATTCATAATTTAGGATTGGGCTGGGACTTCATGGGATTTGGGTTGGTGCTTCAAAGCGTTTATGACCTGAAGGCTTCTATGTAGATATTATATTCAAAGGAACATTTAAAATCTGGTAGTACTGCGATGGTTCAGTCAAAGCGATCACTTCCCCATCACTGATGATTTCAAATGATTCCAAATTCAAAGAGAAAAAATTGCAACAAGGCATTGTCATTCTTGTCAAATGTGAAGGTAATGAACTCCAGGGCTTTCTTCTTTCTCTCTCCGTGGCACAACCCTATTACCAAATCCATCACACATTATTCAACACTAGCACACACAATGTTTGTCAAATAGGTGCCCTGCATTTTTCCATTGCAATCAATACTTTGTATTCAGTTGTTAGGACAAAGATTGCAGATCTTTTTTTGTCATCATTAGCTTTTTGAAAGGACAATATTAATAATTACAACCATTTTGAAATTAAAGGAAAAATGCATTCAAACTCATGAAATGACACACATACTGATGCAATTCAACTTTTGAAAACTTTCCCGCACGTATACCGATGAAAACTTTAAATCCGTGCCTGGTATAATGCTCAAATACCTGCCTTTATTTGTCACATGGTTGTCAGTTCATGTCAGAGCAGAAATGTGACATTAAAGATCGAGTTTGAACCTGAATTCCATCACTTTATTTTGGAGCTGACATCATGAAATCTGACAAAAAGTCTAACGAAAGCCAATGTCTCCAAAATAAAAATCCATATTCAGCTACAGCCTGGATTTCCTGATTTTTTTTTAATAGGCACACGCTTAAGAAGAGTTTCCAGATCTGACACCCGACCAATTGTTCTGCCGTCTTGTTAGCTTGCTCGGAAGCTAACAACTCACACACTGGCTGATAAGGAAAAAGAACAGAATATGGACAAAAACAACTCCTACAATACAACGTTAGATCGTCGAGGAATCTGACAACTACATAGTGCTGGCTTTTCAAATCAGTAGTGTCAGTTGAGTGAGAGCTGGCTGGATCTAACAATGCAGCAAAAATCAACTTCACTTCACAGAAAGTGCAGCTTTGCAAGGAAATTCTGGAGGATAGAAATGCCAGTAACATTCAACATACAGGAAAGGTAAACAGCTCTTAGAGAAAAGACTTCAGAGAAATAACTTAGGGGATAGATCAGGGCGTGGTTTTGTTTAAAACACAATATCAGGCATGAAATGGACAAAGTGACACATCCCTCGCATGATTAGAAGGTTCAGATGATCAACATTTAGCATAAAACTCAAAGAGGCTTGGCATGTTGTACTTACTGACGAGGTAAGGTAAGGACACATGAGAAAAGAGGCAGTCATGTTTAGCCTCTTTCTAGTCAGACTGGTATCCCTGGAGCGGCCATTGCATTCTTTTTTACGGAATGTCGCTTCATGAACACAGCTTCTCCCTTTTGAATGCACCTCACTATACGTGCATCAGCTTTCCCTTTATCCAGAGTAAAAGCCACAGCAAATACTCCACAGACAGTAGACATTTTTACTCTAGGCTTATATTTCGTATCATAGCAACCAGACCGTATCAGCAGATAAAACTATGCGCCTCCAAAGCGGGCCGTTTTCACAGGAGCGCCTGGGGTTTGAAACAGGGAAACACGCTTGTTGCGATCTATATTATTATTCAGGTAGCTCTCAGTCCAAGTTGCTATATTTCAGGGGTCACCAACCTTTTGAGAATAGGGAAACGTGCTACAATAATTTAAGAGCTTGAGAAGTCATTCCTGGTGTATCCAAGCAAATTATGACATATTAAATCATATGAATAATCCTAATTATTTCAATGTTTGTAAATGCAGTCTTATGGCAGAAATAAGCATAACTATTTTTTGGCTCATGACATAATGCAGTTTCTGTTTTACCTTGGTTAGTGAGGAGCTTGGTGGCCTCCAAGACCTTCTCTGTGTAGATTCCAGGTTCATAATTATCCATTTCAGAAGTGACCACATGGACGACTCTGGCAGCGCGGCCGCGGATGGCCCCAGCAGTTCGATCCAAACCATCCACATCTTTCTCCTGCAGAGCGATGACACACTTATTCACGTCCTCCAGGATGTGGTTCTCTGGGGGACATAAAACGGTGTTGTACTTAGCAGCGTATATGCTTTGTATTACTCAAACACTTTAATCCAAACATGACATCAGCCTGCTTGTGTGCAAATACATAAGTGAGGAGATTAACTGGAAATGGTATTTTCTTTCCTTTTTTTCATCAAGACTCAATTCAATTTCAAAGGCTTCATTGTCATATGCACAGTAGCTACAGTGTAGTTATGGCAATGAAAATCTCAAGTCCAGAGCTCCTCAAACAATGCAAAAAAAAGAAAAGAAATATATATATATATAGGACATAAAAGACAATTTATAAAAAAAATAACACAATTAAAATAGTGCAAAATGGAAAAGAGTAGAAACGCGTGCTTTAATGAAGTATGAAACACGTGAGGAATATTGAGAAAACACATGTCAGGAAACCCTCAGCCTTCATCCTCAAATTAAGAGGGCCACAAGGAAGCTCCGGTACAGGATGTGTAGGACTGAAGACAAATTATTTGACTGCTTATTAATGGGGCTGAGCCTGTAAAATGCAAATGTCCACTGTGTAAATTACAGTCCGTCCTTGGCTGGAGGTGAGAGAAGTCACTCTGCTTAATGCTTAACGAGAACTCTTTAAGGGTATGCCCGACAAACCATTTGTGTGCTTTAACACACGTGACAGGATGTCAATTTCAGACGTAGTGCTGCTGATGCTTCAGTGCTTTCCTCTGTACAGCCCATTCAGCCTCTGTATGCATAGCTCTCATCAGAAAAGACTAATACCATGGATACTTTACAGCTAGTTACCTCCTCTTCATAATGGTCTAAAGTGCTTTGTGCATATCCATCTTCAATCTGACTGGAAAGCACAGTCAACAAATCAACAGTGTCTGCTTTTACATTGAAAGTAGATCACAAATAATCACTGATCTTTTAAGACAGTAAGAAAATGGATGATGCTCCAACATGGCACAAGAGTACCACTCACCTGACACACAGAGGAAGTCATCAATGGATGTGATGTCATCAACAGCATCGGTGAGGACACGGACCTGCTTCTCCCACTGCTCCTTGAACAGATCCATATTGTCCATGGCCACCTTACTGTTGGGCTTGGCAGCGAGGGCTAACGCTGCATTAATCACCTGTAATAACCCAATTACAGCCATTAAAGCTCCATTAAAGCATAGCCCTCAGCAAAACATTAGCATAGCTTGATTGCACGAAGCCCCCCCACTCTGCCACCCCAATGTTGGGACTGCAGCATGAAGCCAAGTCATTCCTGGGAGTGATCAGAGACACTGAGGGTTTTGAACGAATGAATGAAATAAACTAATAGCTGCTTGTTTTGGGAGAAGAAACATCTGTGGATATCAAAGCTCAGGATGAATGGGACTCATTAGATGATATTAAGGGGAGCAGTGGCAGCACCAAGGAGAGCTGGCAGGGGCACACATGAGAGACTGCTAGTTCAAATGGTAAGGGGTTTGAAAAGATGGGCTTAATAGTGGACAGATGGAAAAGACTTGAGGTATTGATTTTTTTTCATCTTTTGTGAAATTAAAAACCAGAGTGGAATCAAAACATTTCCAGCTTTGATTAGAGCTGCAAAGATTCATTGACAAGTTGTTAAATACTGAGTTAATTGGCAACCTTTTGATAATGCATTAATCGGTTATCTTAAAAAATTCAAAAAGGGTAAAAATGCTCTGATTGCAGGATCATATAAAGTGAATATAGTTTATTCACGCCTACTGAATGGATTTGAGTTGTTAACAGAAATGGAAGTCATCCCGGGCTTTGGAACAGTGACCAAGATTTTTCAACAATTAATCAATAATTTGAGAAAACAACAGAAAGATGTACAGAAATGAAAATAATCACTACTTGCAGCCCTAGTCTTATAACTGTTCTGTTTTAGTTTACATTTGTTTCACAGTTTTACAAAGTGTGTCAATCCATGTAAACAAATGCACATCTTCATATGAAAATAAATGGCCTATATTGATATATGTCATGTAAGTATTGTGTTCCTATTTGTGCACAGTACCTCTCCGTATCAGGGAGAAGCAAATGTCTAGTTCCCCAGCACAGAGACGTGGAATTCAATGCCAGGTAGCAATTAGATTTGGCATGGGTGTATGATCCAACTAACAACAAAAATCAGGTGGGAAACCAGCGTGGGATTGTGTCATTACCTCTAGCTATGCCACTTTTTATTGTGGCAGGTTTGTGACTATTTTCCATATTTTATTTAATCATTGTTAAATGAATACACTGTGGGCAGTAGGACAACACCCACTCACAGTGTTGTGTCCATTTCTCTCCACCACCTTTTCTAGCACAAATGCAGGATCACAACACTGAAAGACATTAGGCTGCATTGTATTTGTAACAACCAGATTCGAAAAATTGCAAGAAAACTAGACCTATTATTTAAACTAATATTATTTGTATCTGGTTATGAAACACTTAATCGCATTTAAGCAGGCCTGCACACCTGTATTAACTAATCAAATATATTGGCAGATCCTTGTGCCATTATTAAAAAGACAATGTGGAACAGGTGCACAATCAATGAGCTTGGCGTAAGTTGCAGGCAAAAGCAGATACGGTACCTGTGGGCAGAGAGCTTCCAGCTGAGAGGCTGCCATGCGGACCAGCTTCACTCCCTCTTCATTGTTGGAGATGGAGCATGCCAGGTTGGCCACCTAAAACAAGAGACACACACACACACAGTCTTATTTTGAGAAACAAAGAAAGTATAATTAAACTTGGAGAGGAATCCCAAACCCAGGCTACCATAATGAACGTATCTATCCATCCCTGTGGAATACAAACCCACTGCTGAGGATGAACTCATAAAGCTGCTAAATTAATACAAACATAGCAGTGATGGAGAAGGGAAGAAGCAGGAGTGAAAACAAAAGATGTTGAATGAGTAGATAAAATACAAGTGTTATATTTTTCCCCAAAAAAACTTTAGATTTCCCAAAATGTAAATGCGAGTTGTAGCTGTGGGACTCGCAGACGAGGGTACTCTGTGACTAAATCACACGGCTGCCACATTGCCATTAGACTCCTGGTTCTGAGAGGCAAATATTCCTGACACTTAGCTGAGCTAAGCAAGTCTTCCTCTCGGCTGCCAATATGAATGGTTTGTGAGTATGTTTTCTTGTATAGACCAACAAATCATGCTCTGGCACAATTATTTTTCAATATTCTTGCATTTTCCAGAATAAAATAATGTATCTAATCATATTCACAAAAAATTAGGTCAGAGTCTGACTCTTCCCATTTGTTGGTTGGGATGTGCCTGCAACAATGCTGAAACAGAATGGCTGGGATGTGATAGAACTGTGCCAAAGCAGGATTATCAAAAGGACAGAAAATGTGTTGAAACGTAATCAATTACAGAAGGAAAAAAACGGCTCCTGATTGTACTACAGCAGGAACAAGAACTGAGATGTGTTTTTGTTTTTTTATAAGAACCTGTGTCCTATTTGTGTACTTTCAGCCATCAATCCCTTATATTTTACTCCACAATGTAATTACCCAGATCTGTGTCACACAGCAAAATGAGCCGTGGTTTTACCTCTATATTATAAATCTGAGTGAAACAGTTATGAGACACTGCATTTTAGCACTACAAGCCTTCAAAGCCATGTCAGTTCCAATCGATAACGCTAAATCATGGTGACAATAATGTTAATAATGCACTGCTGGTGTATTCATTTTAACATTTGAAATTACAAAATGGCTTATTCTTTACCCGTGTGATTTTTGTTATCGAAATGTGGGGCAAATATATAATAATAAGACTGGTTGTTAAAGAAATCCATTAAAGCTTGAGCGGTGGAAGCATAACTGGCTGCAGGAGTGGCAGAGTGAATGAGAGTGTGAAGGATCCTCTCCTCATCATCTTTCATTCCACATGAACATGTCCACTACCACCTGAAAGATTCCTGAGCAGTTTTCCTGATGAGACACTTATACCACAGCGCTGGTGACGCACTGAAACATTGATATAAACACATCCTCCATCACTATGCAAACCCATGCAGGGACCACAGAGAGAACATTCAGTAACCCGAGAGGCTGGGTGAGAGAGCGCTTACAGGAAGAAAAACTGCCACTTTATGGAGAGACCTGTGTTTTTACTTTCATGATCTTTCACACAAGCTTTCTCTTGCTCTCACCACGATACCACTGGGACAAAGATATTTCAGTATAAAGGGACGTTGCTTGAAGCCAAACAAGAATGTTTTACCCTCAAGTAAAGTAATGTTTTTCCACTTAGCATGCTGTAACCATGCCATTCTGAGTGTCAGGGGACGCCAGAGTTTACCAAGTCTGTGCAAACATTTCTTTTAAAATGCACCTCCCAAAATCGTACTTTTTATTCCTCAACAGAAATGACAATAATTTGATCCAAATACCAGCACCAATTCAATACCGTGGTAAAAAAAAACAATAGCAATACATCCCATGTTCCATACTGTTGTGTATTAGTGTTCATGCTAAAATACTGACATTTTTCTTATTATTTTTAAGTCAAAAATATCTTCAATTGTTTAAATAATGCATCTTAAGGCAATAGGCTTGAACATTGAAGAAATTAGAAATGTAAGATTGTCTAATGCTTTAGAAAGAACAAAAAAAAGAGGGTTCCCACAGTAAACTATGGGATTTTCCAAGGCTGATGTCACTAATCCATTGGAAGACTGGTCCCACCTCAAGGGAGGCATCTCTGCATCTCAACTTGTCAAGTTGTGAATCTCTATAACTCTTAGTGACATGTCATTTAAAAGCAACTACATTTATGTTAACCAAGCCCTTATCTAATGTCACCAACACCCATGGCTGAAGCCTCAAATAAAGATATTATATGTGAACATTACTGATGCAAAGTATTTACAGCGGTTTTTCACGGCTACATTCTTCCTCTGCTACCTCCGTGCTTAAATCTGCACATAGTCCTGAGTACCCTGGAACGATTGAGAACATAGCCTTGAGGCAACCACACAAAGCTTAGTCTATTTTCTCCCCCTGCTCTTAAGATGATGAATATTACTGCTTAAAGATGCCTGGTAACATGGGACAGAAAAACCCAATGGATTTGGCAACAGGTAATATGAACATTTATTGCCATAGTTACCTTTCAGATGTGGAGACATTTTAACACAGCCTTATAAAACTGAATATATTATGAATGCAATGTGGGTTAATTCAGACCGAATCCCAAAAGCAAAAGGTCTTCAGTGCTGCAACTAGGTTAGCTGCTGTGGTGACTGTTTCCTGTGTTCCCCCCGTGTTAACCTGTTTACAGATTACATAGCAGACTTTGACACATCAAGTAAATGAAACCCATAAAGTAAGACCTGAAATGATGCTTTATTTAATTATATAAAACACTAGGTTTCAAAAAGACAATATTGTGACAAATGAGGTTAGAGGAGCTGCTTAAAAGGGGCCTATAAATGAATGTGGGTCAGTCATAATGTTGCTTTCAAACAAATGTGTGTGATCTAAATGGACCATTTGCCCTAAGGCACAACTCGTGATGTCACATGAACAGCCCGAGATCAGTGTCACTTTGTCCTTTGTTGGATATGTAAGTACCATTCCTAATTTATGTGTGTCAAAAGATATTTTACCTGATGGATATTTTAATTAGATCAAGCTAGTTCCATGTAGACCAAGAGATTTGCCAGGCAAAACCACAGACATGATAACTATCCCTGCCATTCATTAACATAACTGTATTGTAGTTTTTCCCAAACTTCATATTCATTCTGTTTTATTGTTGACTTTTAATGGTCTATTTAAGACACTGTGCTGTATTGCCGTAAAAAATATTTTTGAAGTTTTTATCTAACACTTATATTAACACCATATTACACTACCTATGTCAATACAAATTTGTTTAAATCCACTGTGAGAAAAACTGCTTTAAACAAGTAAAAACTGTATTATCTATTTAATGACATTCATATGTAACATTTCAATCAAAGCTCTACTTCTTCATCTATCCCATCCAAGTGTTATAAGCAGATGTAGTGCCAGAGCATTATGGGAGTCCACTAATGTCATGCTTTAAAGCCACTTCTGACAGAGGCCTTCAGGGTCTGCTCCCCTGTGTGGTCCCCTTTTCCCCTCTAATGCTTCACTGCTTTCCCCAGTGAACATTTATACTGCCCCCCCCCCGCCCTGCTCCAGCTACACTCATGGTCATCTGCCAGGGGGAAGAAGTCACTTTCAAATGTCAACATATGCTTTGACACAAGTGTTCAAGAAAACGAAGGAAATACCACTACTGAGGATTACTCATGTTTTTGTAGGCTTGTTGCTTACCATGACCAACACTTTGCCATTGTCTGTGTTATTGTTGCTAGGTTACAGCAATGGAGCCATTCAAATCCTGGTCTATGCCAAACCATGACCCTGTCTTGAGATATGACACCAAGCACAGATAGGGGGGGTAAACAGAAGGAACCTGGCCCCTTTTAAGATATGTATCTGTGTAGGTATCAGTACATGTGGAGGTATCAGTACATGTGGAGGTGTCCAATAAGCAGAACATCAACCTGTCGTGGCAAAGACAACATTTTCCCAGAGGGAGCACCTATCCTTATGTGGTGGTTATTTCCCTCGTTTGGATCCACTTTAAAATGTTATCTGTTGCTATGACCACTCTGTGTTGCTTGTTTGCTCACTATATCCTCACAGCATCATATTAGAGTCCGCATCCCCTTTACAAGTGAGAGAAACCACAGAAAACATTTCCTGTTTTGTTTCAATTTGGGAAAACAATCCCAGATAGATTTTTGCTGTGCCGTAATCCTACAGTTTTATCAAGAGGTAATCTTTCGGAGAAAAAGTCACAAAGAGAGAACAGAGAAGCTGGATGAAGACTGACGTTTACTATAAGCTAAAATGTCTAAAATATCAATAGGATGGACAGAAAAAGTATGAATAATCTGTATTTGGGTCATATGAGGTTTTGTTTCTGAAAGCACTCAAAATTCGACATTACCTCGATCAGCTTGTTGGCGTGCTCACGGAACACCTGTGCATACTCCTTGACTTCTTTCTCATTGCCATTCTTGGCGGCTTCAATCAGGACCAGCAGGGGAACATTGGTCTCCAGGAACGAGTCAGAGACATGGTCCATTACAGCTTTACGCAGCTGTGAAGTAAAACAATATATATACTTATAAAGAGGGCACTGTTGAGGAAATATATGCTTCTATGCATTTGTGATAGGGGGAAATAAATGTGCACTTGCAGTTGTTTTTTTCTACTACATTGTACACCGTTCCTAGATGTTTAACTTTATAAGCGAAAATATTGATACAATGTATATATGAAGTAGGATTTTTTTTAAAAACATTTCAGTACAAACCTGTCTGCGAAGGTCTCTGGTCTTCTTTGTCATCCTGTCAATGGCTGTGTTCAGAGCATCACTCCTGTCCTTCCTTCCAGCCTGAAACATAAACATGGCAGAGGAATTAGAGAGGGCTAAGGTGCAGGGACAGCAATGTTCCAAACACATCTGTTGTGGATGCTCAAATGAAATACATTGTGATCACGCTAAAGGTCCAACTCAATTTACAGGGACATTTCGGTAAACATTGTGTAGCTTCAGTTTACAGTTGAGAAAATGTTCATAGTTTATTGATTTTAGTTACTTTTTAAAAGTACAAGGTTAGTACTCAAAATGTATTTCAATGTTTAAAAAGAAGAATATTGTTTCGAGGAGTTACTGAATAAGGTCAAGTCATAATGCTGTTAAATGCTTTTGGGTATTGATACAAGAATTCTTGCATTGTTTTGAAATGAATAATCCCATGAAGGATGTAATGTGTAATTTACCAGACACACGAAAATATATCTATTTATTCCTCTATTCAGTCCTTTGAATGTAAAAAGTTCCAGCGAGATTTTAACTCACATTTTAGTGCAGCTAGTGTTCTGCAAAGCCCAATTCATTTCTGTTCCTTTTATTTGTTAAATACTATTGTTTAGTCCAGCTGTCGAATCTGCCACATTGCCTCTGTTAAAACACTGGAATCATTTCCCAACTGATGGCATTGTGAGCGAACACTGGAGCACACAAACAAACAGTGGCCAACAGTTTCAATAAATAACATACACACACTTAAACAATGCATCAGTAGAAAGGCACAGCTGCTTTTGGTTAAAAAAAGCGCTGATTTGCATCTATATCAGCGCTTTAATTCATAGGCAACACACCCTCTTAAGTGCTGCCGTTGTAAACTGCATTTAAAAATTGTAATTTGCATTCACGCAGGGATCAAAAGAGGCTATCCAAATCCTGCCCAAGCTTCCTGCCACCACAACACACCACACGCATATTGTACAGAACACAGTATATCACAGTAATCCAGTAAAGACAAGCTGTGATGCAGGCTTTAGTTTCTTAATGAGATAGATACAGAGCTCGGATTCCATTATTTTGATTGCTAATTCTTATGTCTGCTCGTTATTTAAACTTTTATAATGTCATGATACCAGAAATGTTGAAGTTGATACCTTTACCAGTATAATTACCAGATCTCGATAATTTATTTTATACCACAGTGAAAAACTAAATAATATATTCAATGTATAGGAACATTTTGGCAGATTTTAATCTGTAATAATTCCAAAGAGGATAAGGGACAAATACAGTTTGGTTCAAGAATCCTTGATTTCAAAAGGTTTTCCTTGGTGTGACCAAAACCATTTTCTGTCGTATGAAGCTATTTGTGTAGATCAATATCACTTGTATTTTTTTTTTTATTAATTAAATGATATTATCTGTAAAAAATTTAGGAAACTTGTAAACACTGTTCTCAACAAAGCAAGGACTGTCTTGGCTTGTGTGAGAGCTGTTGCTGCAGTCATGTCAACATTTTCAAACTCTGCACTTTGATTACTAATTACATTACATTGCATTTAGCTGACACTTTTATCCAAAGCGACTTACAATAGGTGCATTCGATGGTTCATCAGGTTTCATAGAGCCAAAACATTTCAAGATATTTGAAATTTCATTTTTAGATAAGCCAGTCCTTTATTAGTATACAAGTGCTTTATTAGTATGCAAGTGCTTTGTTAGTAATTCTATCGCTCGAAGTGGAGTCGAACGAGATGAGTTTTTAGTCTCCCCCGGAAGATGTGTAAGCTTTCTGCTGTCCTGATGTCAATGGGGAGCTCATTCCACCATTTTGGAGCCAGGATAGCAAACCCACGTGTTTTTGCTGATGGGGACTTGGGTCCACCTCGCAGTGCGGGTGCAGCGAGCCGTTTGGCTGATGCAGAGCGGAGTGCACGTGCTGGGGTGTACAGTTTAACCATGTCCTGGATGTAGGAAGGGCCAGATCCATTCACAGCATGGTACGCAAGTACCAGTGTCTTGAAGTGGATTCTAGCAGTTACTGGAAGCCAGCCAGAACGGAGGAGCGGCGTGGTGTGGGAGAATTTAGGAAGGTTGAAGACCAGACGAGCCCCTGCATTCTGGATGAGCTGCAGAGGTCAGATGGCACATGCAGGTAGACCAGCCAGGAGGGAGTTACAGTAGTCTAATGATAGTTCTTCATTTGTATCTATTTTTCAATTCTCTGTCGATAAAAAAACACTTAATCTGTAAAAAGGTTAAACTCCATGACCACTGTTAATCTACAATAACACTCAAAAATAATATTCTAATCTCCTCATATTAAATGAGAAAATGGTGTTGATTAAAAGGTTTTAATTTACTACGCATGGCTTACTGTGTAAATCATGTCTCTTAATACTGCAACACCATTGGCAGTTGTCACGACGCTAAGCACTATGCAGCAGTCAAAGCCCTAACTACTGGTCCCACTGAGAGCAGAGAGCATGTTCAGTCACATTCTGCAAACTGCTCAAGCGAAATGTTGGAAAATCTAAAACTTTCAGGAAGGATGTGGAGATGGAGAGAAAGAGGCGGAGAAAGACAGGGTGAACGACAGATAGATGGACAGATACTGGAGGATAATACAATTAAAGCAAAATTAGATGAACAGGAAAGGGCAATGGAGAAAAGGAAAAGAAACAGTTGGTCTCAGGGCCGTTCGTCCCCCTCTACTGCTCCAATCAACTGCGACAACACCATGGAAGGTGGTGGCATTGACCTGCCCCATCCCCCACTGGCCTTTGCCCATTGGGGGGTTGTGTACATGGTTAGGGGCCAGGGAGATCCAACGGCACTAATCCCCTGTGATTTTGTGCTGGTTGGATGCAGTGCTGTGTGGGGCTTTACTCTGCCCCTTCCCTCTCAATCCTATTTCCTTCACGCCTAGCCTATATTTCATTTCCACGCCAGAGGCTTCCAAAGCACTTCTTCAGGTGCTTATTATGGAGGCAGTTTCTCTGCTGCATCTTTTATGATACCCGTGAGTCTCTATCCATCTCCTTTAGGACAGATTTAGGAACATCCCTTTTCTACAAAACCACTAGTCCGCTCAATTATTGAAAAATTCTATGAAAAATAAGTATGCTCTAAGTGTCAAATGATCACTGACTATGATATTGTTTCAGCAAGTTCACTTAATTGAATGTCCATTTTCAATTTCACATTCTTTGTTTTAAAAACTGCCTATTACACATCTTGAATTGGAAATGGGAAGCTACCACACATTTTTTCTACATCTCCCAGTCTACCACAATGAGCGTGGAGAATGAAAGCAGCATGCGGGTCCAGTAACCTGGAAAGTACCAGCCAGATACATGTCTTGTCTTGAAACTCTTGCCATGAAATGAATTGGGATGTATAAATGCATAAAGTAATCCAGATCAATTGTAATTCTAATGATATAAGATTTGTATAAGTAACTCTTTCACTATCATCTCCTGCCAAAGCACACAGAGGAAATGTAATTCTTTGCTTTCATTAGGTACAATTTATTGCCTGTAGCAGTTGCAACAAGAGTTAAAATCCATATCAAATACATTGCAGCAAGGTAATCAGAGTAATATACAAGTATAAATCAGAGAGGGGTGTGGCAGGCTCAAGCGATCTGAGGTCACGTTTAAGTAAATGATGCATGAGTGGAATAAAAGGTGTTGAAGTGCAAAAGTTGAACACCACAGTACATGTTCTTCTTAATGCCTCTTATATCTAGTCTTTGGCTGGTTCAGATGTAGTTAATTGAAATTACCCTCACACCCATCTCAACCAACATTAAATAATTAAGAAAAGTCAGCATTTTTATGCACTGAACTACCGACATCTCTTTCTGTTTTGCATTCTAAAATGGTGTCGTCTTAAAAAACAAGATCTGCATATGAAATGTTTTTGTTTCACATTCTCAAACAAGTATTTGTTCTAGCCTATTACATGCTGGAAGCCTAATTTAACTTCAGGGCAGCTGGCCATACATCACATGCCATCACTGCACTCAGGATATGTAAATCATGTATATAAGCCAGGCGTCCTATGTTAGCAATTCTATAGCATACTCCTGTACAGAGATAACAGAATGCAGCAGACCTACCCCCCCCCTCGTGAAGTTTATGTTGTCAAGAGCCACATGTTATGACCTACGTTTTGCTTTGTTGTTATTTTGTTTATGTGTTCGGTATACTTTCATACATAGCACATACAAAACAACAGCAAGGCGAGGCTGAGATTTACAGCTGTGGTTAATTTCAACAGCAAGCTGCCGCAACACGTTCAAGATATCAATATTCTGATGGTGACGAGCCAGTATGAGGGGAGTGGGTATGCAGGGGGGAGGTTGGGGGAGAATGAGGTGCACAAGCAGTGTGTATGAGGCAGAGAGCAAGTGACTGAGCAAAAGAGTGAGAGGGTGTTTGTGAGTGTGGGAGAGAAAAAGAGAGAGAGAAACAGTAGTGATGATCGACGCCAGGCTGCCACCACTCTGTAGCAGTGAGTGGCTGCAACAAAAAGCACAGAATAACATCCCTGACTCCCCGCTCTGCTTTTTTTCTCTCTCCCTGCGTCTCGGCTAGCAGAGGAGTGCTCCGCGCACAGCTCTGCAGAGGCTATGCTGAGACTGAGCCGGCGTCGTAAGCAGGATCTCTGGCTGCCATCAACAAGTTAGGGTCGGAAGAACACAGCCATGAAGAGGACGGCTTGATCTCCAATTGACTGTCTAAGCCGACACCATTGCGGTGGAAGGGAAACAAAAGGGTAAAAAAAAGAAAAAGAAAAAACGGAGAGGAGGGGGGGTCTGTTCAACGGAGTCGCTCTGGATGCAACTGATCAACTTAAAAAAAAAAAAATTAAATAATTATTTCCAGGATTCGTGGGATGAAGGAAAAGATTCAACCCTTTCTCTGAGGACGGATTTTCAAGGACTCTAAGCAAAATAAGAGGAATAATCTTCATCTTGGGACATGGAATTTCATATTTTGTTTCAACTAGGTGGGCTCAGAATTGCTTTATTTCCAAAGAAGCTGATTCCTTTTGTGCTTACTCAAAAGGGTTTTTTCCCTTTGGATTTTTCTTCCATCTGGTTGCTCCAAGAGTCTGCGGAAAAGGACAGTTGAATGCAGCCTCCGATGTGCACAAAAGAATGGGTAAGTTAGTCCCTTTATATGGCAGGTCTGGACATGAATAGGGAACACAAGTAAGAGCGAGGGAGGCTAAGGACTAAAAGCTCTTCAGCCTAGTCTATTTACTGCGATTGCCCTTCATTTTTCCTTTTTCACCGACACACGAGTCCGGAATATATACATTTTAAATAGCTTTTCTATTAAAGGCTTAACTATTCATGATGAAAAGATGATTAATCAATAAAAAAATACGCAATAATTGATGAATGACAGTAATATAAATATAAGTATTTTAACCAGATTACAGAGCACAACATGTGCAGAAGATAGGATTAATATAAGTAGCAAGGGTGTGGAAACAAAGTCAAGATCATATATGTAATTCATCATATCCAAGTACATTACAATTGAATTATACCTCAGCATAAAAAAAGTATCTGTACATACATTGGGAAAGTTGCAAATGTCAATGCAAAAGATCTTAACGGCTGTGTGTTTTTATGTATGCCTGTATGTGAAAGAACGAGAGCACATCCAAAAAGCACAATCGTCACCATGAATTGGTAATAAGTGCTCTGCAGAGATAAGCTTTCCCGCCCCACAGTTCATTTTGTTCTCTTTGAACCCACCCAGGTTTCCATTCAAGGTGGCCATTGGTGGGACCTGCACCAGCGGCTCTGTGTCTGTGTGTGATCAGCATGCTCCTAGTGTGCCTGCTGCCTCCTGCATCGTGCACGACCTGCCCTCAAAAATGCCGCTGTGAGGACCTGCAGTTCTACTGCGACACCCAGGGGCTTCAGGCACCCCCAGATGGTGTGGACAAAGGGGCCCTGGGGTTGTCGCTACGCCACAATAGCATCACTGAGCTCAGCCCTGATCAATTCTATGGCTTCAGCCAGCTCACATGGCTACATTTAGACCACAACCAGATTACAACAGTACAAGAGGATGCCTTTCAAGGGCTCTACAAGCTGAAGGACCTCAATCTGAGCTCCAATCGTATCACCAAGTTGCCCAACACAACCTTCATCCACCTCATCAACCTCCAGATACTGGACCTGTCTTTCAATCAGATGACTGCATTGGAACCAGAACTGTTTCATGGACTGAGGAAACTCCAGATACTCCACCTCCGCTCCAATTTACTCCGCACCACACCTGTACGGGCATTCTGGGACTGCCGCAGCCTGGAATATCTGGGCCTAAGCAGCAACCGTCTACGGAGTCTGGCCCGGAATGGATTTGCTGGGCTCATTAAGCTCAAAGAACTCCACTTGGAGCACAATCAGCTGACCAAGATAAACTTGGCCCATTTCCCTCGCCTTGTTGCCCTCCAGTTTCTGTTTCTGCAGTGGAATAAAATCAGCAACTTAACATGTGGCATGGAGTGGACCTGGACCACTCTAGAGAAACTGGACCTGACAGGAAATGAGATCCGTGTCCTGACATCTGATGTGTTTCAAACGCTGCCAAATTTAAAGATTTTGCTGCTGGATAACAACAAACTAAGCAGTCTGGATCCCACAGTCATGGATAAGTGGCAGTCTCTTGGTACTATTGGGCTGTCAAGCAACTATTGGGAATGTACCAAAAGTATTTGCTCTCTGGCCACGTGGCTCAGCACCTTTAAGGGAAGGTGGGAACATTCCATCCTCTGCCATAGTCCTGAATATGCACAAGGAGAGGAGATACTTGACGCTGTTTATGGATTCCAGCTTTGCCAGAATTTCTCAGCGCCGGTTGTTCAAACCATTAGTACAACCACGGACGCTACTATAGCTGCAGAGATGACAAGCTCCCTGTTTGGAATTATGCAGCCTACCCCCACGCAGGACTATGCAGAGGATTTTGGGAGCTTTACCACAGTCACTACCACAACAACCACAACAACACCACCACGCACTGCTCAAGCAACCACTGCTACAATGGAAGAGGCAGCTGTAACAGAGGACTTCTCTGCAATGGACAACACTGTAATGACTCATAGGGTTATCATTGGAACTATGGCCCTTCTATTTTCATTCTTTTTCATAATTTTCGTCGTGTATATCTCACGGAAGTGCTGCCCGCCCACCCTGCGCAGGATACGCCACTGTTCGGCTATTCAGAACCGCAGACAGATGAGGACCCAGCAGCGGCAGCCTATGGCAGATCTAGCTACACAGGTACCCTATAATGAGTATGAGCCCAGCCATGAAGAAGGGGCACTCGTGATCATAAATGGCTATGGGCAGTGCAAGTGTCAGCAACTGCCTTACAAAGAGTGTGAAGTATGAACTCTTATTTATTCCTAGAGCATATGGTTTGCCATTTGACCATTTCAGATGATACAGGGTTTGCTTTTTTTGTTTGTTTTTTTTCCAGTTTATGTAAAAAGCATAATTTCTACAAGTGAGATTTAAGAATATGTGAGAAATGCCGAGTGCTACAGTGACAGAGGTTGGACATGACAGTTTAGGGATGGTGTAGAGATAGTCACACATTTATTTTTCTATGAATGCAAAGTTGTTCATATCAGGCAGGGGCAATCATTTTAAACAAGAAAATTGTATAACTGAGATTTGTCTCCACATTGTCACTATATTCTGGAGCACAGAGAAAATACTTAGCCAAATGGCCCTCTGCTAACAGAATACATTAAGTGGAGAAATGTGATTTATGTCTCATTTCTTTTTAAAAGTAAATGTCTGAAATCATGTTTCTAACTGCACCACAGGCACTGTAAGCCAATCACTCAATCACTAGGGCATTTGAATCGGATCAATCATAATGTCTTTGTTTTTCAGTTTCATTGTTTAAAGAGAACTATTATACATTAAAAAGGACCCCAAGACCAAAACTCTGAATTATATCCGAAAAATAAATGTCATTACTGTTTCGTTACAAATAATATAAATCTTCTTGAGGAGACAATAACCATGAAATTCGGTTAAGTATCCACACATGTATATTACATTTACCAAATGAATCAATTAGGTGGGTTTATAATCTTCCATCAGATCAAAGGCCTCTCAGTGCTTGTTGTTTACAGAACTCATACGGGGGGGGCCATCCCCCCAAAAAACAGCTGTCCTTAGCTAAAAAAGGAACTCTTGTTTAAATCTGAATTTCTTACAAAATGTATTCTTTTTAAAAATGCAACCACAAGTGTATACTGATTGAAAAGACAGCAGACATTGAGAATTTATGTTCAATTATATATATATATATATATATATATATATATATAATTGAACATAAATTCTCACACATATATAGATATATATAGGAAAAATGACCTTTTTAAAATCAGACTCGTAAATGCAATGCAGTTTTGCAGCTTGTTCAATGTATGAGCTCACAAATACATTCTCAACATGTGGTTAAACACTAAGCATTGTTCATATGTGGTTACTCTCCAATATATTACACTTAGCAAAGACATATGGATGTCTTCCTCTTCTGGGACACCAAGAACAAAAAGATTAGACCTTTACATTTACAATGACGTGTACATGGATTCTCTAGCCCCTGAATGCCACACAAACGGTGACCATAATATTTCCATCAGCTCAACCTAGTAAGTACAGTTTGCCGATTTGCTCTTATATAATAAGATCAATATACAGAGGAGTTAGTGTGATGTGTAAGGGACACAAGTGAAAGGGTAATGGCCAGCGCAAATGCCACATAGGAGAGCATTTCATTCTGAAAAGAAAAGCTTTCAGCAGTAGCCCAGGCTCTTTACTGCTCACACACTAATCAGGTCTGACAGGCCCAAGATTCAACCAATTAAGGCAAGGCGAAAATAATCTAATATGCTGTCACCCACACCAGTGATCCAGCAACATTTAGCTTGTTCAGCCGCTCAAAAATAGTTCTAGTCGAATCATTCTCTGTACCACCTAAAAACATAATTGAACCTTTTACTTTAAGACTTTGTCCGTGTTAAGGATGCCGTTTACATTATTAAAAACAGATTACGGGAAAGGAAACATCTTATAATAGTTATTTGGTTAGCAGTCACAAGTGTCAAGTTAAACTGCGGTCAATAGCCTGAAAGCAAATGGAGATCCAGTGATAAGCAAACAGCCAGCCTGGGTCAGGACACATTTGTATGCAGCAGGGAGAGGATGTGCATTAGCATCAGACTAAAGCTGCTGCCGCAGCTCCGCACTTCTTTGTGTTCAGTTTGGTAGTGGGGGCAGGGTGAAAGAGAGAGGGATTGAGAGGAATTGATGGGACGATGGAGAGGGGGCAATGATAGGATAATGTCTTCGTTTATTAAAACCAACCAACCAATCTTTCTGGCCAAGTAGAGGTAGTAGAGAAATAAAGGATACAAACTGAATGAGCACCATAGGATTGAAATGCACACTGATCACACAGCAGAAACTATTTCTTAAACTGATGAGCTATCCAGTGTTTGAACAGTACAAAAAATCAATTGCAATTCTAAAAATTGTAATATGGCATCTTCATGAAGCCTTATAGCTGTACACTTAAATATGGCCTTTTCTTCAAAAGCCCAACTTTTGGCTATGTTTAACCAACTCAGAAACCTGGCTTTGAGAATGTAGGATGCAGTTTGCTGGACAGCGCCCCCTAGAGGTGACAATTGTGGATTTGTGTCTTTGTTGAAGGTGTCAAGATTTGGCTTTAATCTTCTAAATGAAAGCTTGAGTCATGTCTCTGTACACATAATATGATGCCTACAAGTTCAAAGAAAGTGTTTGCGTAACAGTTCAAATTTGCATTCAATGAAAAACATACACTGATCGTAATAATGTCCAAAGTCAAGCACCTCCACCTTGTTTCAAATTTTGTTTTCTTCCAGCTTCGCACTGCTATTACTACTGCCCTTGTTATCTGTCTTGCATGTTCAAAAGTCAATTGAGTTGAATATTTCTTAATGTCATTCAGCAAACATTATTACGAGACTTCATTTTTGATATCACCGAGAATGGGGATGTGTGTGCGTGTGCGTGTGGAATTCCTATAGAGTTCTGTCAATCATTTGACATTTCACTGTTAAAGACTACGGTTGTACTAAATGACTGAAAGTCCACAAGTTTGTAGAAATATGCATCCCTTTGCACTCTGGCTCTTTGTAAACTGTTTTTGTTTCCTCTCGTCATCCTCTAGCCCTGGTCCCCACCCTGCCGAAAAATAAAAAAAAAAGGAAAAAAACAAGTGAACCAATCCCCTCTCTCTTACCCAATCTCTTTGTGCAAAATGAATGCTTTTCTCTTTCCATTTCCTTTTGTATTGTAATATGTACAATTTCATATCTGTATAGTGGATAAGATGTGCCAAACTGAAGAAAAAAAAAAACATTTTCCCCTCAAAACATATATTTTTTAAATAAAATGGTTATAATTTACAGAGTGTTTGCTAACTGATGAATGCTCACAACTTGGTTTGGTCTTTCATTGCAGTTTGGTCTAGTGTGCAAGTCTTTTGCAAACCAAATCACACCCAACCCTTGGTGAGGTGGATTTGCATATCAGTATATGTGAAATGCCTGAAAGCATTTGTCAAATGAAACATTTTCCATTTCTAATGTAATCTTTGCTAGGCACAGTTTAATGCACTCATGGTTGGAGGACTCATTCGAATCAAAGTCTCTTCTATCAATACATGTCAACATCAAGATTAGATCATCTACATTGAAAGTGGATCATATAAAAAGCCTAATGATGTTGTTATGCAAAGCTGATGTTTCTGTGAACCCCTTACTTTAATGCAGTGTCTACAGTTTCTGAATATGGGCATTTCAATAGAATAACAGGTGATGCAGAAGAATCTATCCCGTTGAATCTGTTGTTTACCGGAGAAGGGTCCATGAAGCTTGGAGGCTGTGACTATTGATTATTTTCATTATCAATAACTTTGTTAATTGTTTTGTCTATCAAATGTTTACACATAGCTATACATTAACTTACTTATTCTGTGTGTGTCTTAAAATAGCTTCTTTTTTTTTTAAATCAAATATATTGACTTAATGATACTTTAACAAAGAGACATTTGAAAATCACACATTTGAGTACGTGGGTACAGAAAAATCGTTGGGTTGATTTTTCCACGTAAATGACTATAGTGAATAATTGATTAACTCACTTTCCATTTGAGGACAACTTCAATAGTTAAGTACGTCATGCAATGAAAGAAATATTCTGACGGCTCAACCTTCAGATAACAAACTAAGATTTCACAAAGGTTATTTAGTCTTCAGCATGTTTAATGACTTGTCAGTTATTGCTAAATAATTAAGCTAGCTAAGCATTTATGGCTTATTGCAAGGTCGCAATACATTTGATGGATTGTTCCTAAATGTATAATTAGCATCTAAGAAACATTGACATGATTTCTGAATCCTTTTTCATCAAATGTAAGACTATAACATCTTTAGGCAAAAAGGCTCAAAGCAAGAGTAATAACATGGAAATGCCAGTGGAAGTTTGTGTAACGAGGTGAACATATATTTTAAAAGCTGTAGCAAATTGAATATGATTGATCCAAACAAGTTGACATATTCTACCATGTAGCAAAGAAGGAAATGTCAAAGTTATGTCTCCACATGTCGTATAGGGATTCCATGTAAGACGTGCATCACACATTTGAGGTTGAAACTGCTCTTCAAACTGACCTTTTTCTCATGTGCCAGTACTTAACGGTCACTCTTTCAAGATAAGTAATTTCAAATGTTTAGCAAACCGTACTCGAGACATACAACTTGCAAAAACAATCCAATTTGGAGTTTTCTTCACATCAGAGGAAGTCTTATTTTTATATTGCAAGATCTATGGCAGATACTATCAGTCTCTATTTAACACAACTAAATGTTTATACAGAAGTTATATGTTCACCATAAAGAATACAAACAACTTCAATGCTGTAGTAGTGAACCCACCCCCAGTGTTGGTGTCCACCATGACTGCACAGCATACATAGCCGTTTGATCATAATCAGAACCTGCATAGTTCAAATATTGTATTGTAAAAAATATTAGGCTGCAAAAGTAAGCTTGCCCCGCCACCAAATGCAGGAAGACATCGTTAACCTTTCATAATTCAGCTTGTCTTCTTTTTGCAGTCAAAGGTTTTTCTAACAGAGGAATTATATTAGATCAGAACTTGGTACGGACAGATGCTTAATATTTCAGGACTCCGATAAGACTGGGGATCAAAACACAACAACTCTATCAAAACAACTGTAATCCAAGCTCTTTCAATTCCTTGGAACGTTTAATGAAAAGCCCAGTGTGCTAAAAAGAGAGAATAACAGTTTACATAAAATACTTAAGGTCTGTCATTTCAGTCAGACAAGGCATCGCAAAGAATAAAGGCCGACATGGCCCTCCAACTCTAAGAACCACTTCAATATGACCAGATCTTTCTTGATATCAGGCTTCAGTAATTAACCTGCAGAGAGTTCCCAGGTAGGGGGGGCACTAAACTAGAGAGTCTGACTACATGTCATCAGTAGCCTGCAGAGTTCAAGGACTTCTGGACTTACGTACACTATCCCTAAATATGTATCACTCCGCACATTTCAAATCAGTCTTCTACCTTATCCTTGGAGGACCCAGGTGGAAACTGGAAACGGGGATGAGCAAAACTACTGACAGCAAAATCCAAAACTTTCCTTTTGATTTTGTTGAAGACAAAAACGTTGCTTCTTACACAAAAATATGTTATCAATTTCCATCTTTGTACTTTGCATTTAAATAAATTAATCATTTCAAATTATCATATTAAAAGGTTAAGGCAAAGTTTAAATACAAAATAGTTCTACAAAAATGTAAAGGAACTATCAATAATTTAAAAGGAACTATTAAAATGGCCCATACTGAAAAAAAGCAGTTATTATCCTAATAAGCAATGTAAATGTGATTGTTACAAATACTATTAAGATACTTATACTAGATATAAAAACATATTATGCTATCAAACATCCGAGCATTAACATTCAAAGCAGAAACATATTCGTTATTAGAATAATATGCAATTAATAATAAAGACTGAAGCCACCTATGACGGAAGGCATCAGCCATTGGCTCAGTCACTGAAGCTTAGTGTCGGCAGAGATCCAGTTATGCGATAATCCTTTTTTTGTCTCCCTTTTTGTGAGACATTGTTTCATTTAAAATCAGTATGAACAAGAACAGTCACGATGGAAAGTCTGT